CTTCTTCTTCTTCTTCTTCTTCTGGTCGGAATGCTGGGTGGTGCCGTAAGGCGGATCTGGGGAGAAGCCCCCTGAGGAGTGCAGGAGCGCAGCCTGGGCCCAAGGAAACGCATCGGGGAATTTGCGCGTTTTCAACTGAGAACTGTACTACATGCGGAGAAGTATTGAAATATCTTGTTGATGCGTGTGCAAGAAGCAGACTATGGCCACTGTTTTTCAAGGCGGGGTCATGAGGTTAGCCCCCTGAGGATGATCGGAGCGCAACCGATCGAAACGCGTCGGGGATTGTGCGCGAGAACTGAGACGAGTATGCGCGGCTTTGTAATGAAGAGCTTCCGATGCGTGTCCGAAAGGCAGTTGGCCACTGTTTTCCACTATTCTTCTTCTTCTTCTTATACCGTATTCCTTTTACTGCAGAATTGTACATGTACATAACTGAAGCGAGGTCCCACTAGCAAAGAGGGTTTCGATAAAGCGTCTGAAACTGCATGGGGGTTTTGAGACGCGATGCAGAAAATCAGATCAGTCGCGAGTTTCCGCACCTTTCGACAAACACGAACAGATTCTCTGCACCTTTCGACAAACACGTCCAGATTCAGGCGTTTAATTCAGTCCTCCCTGCTAGTCGCGACTCCGATCGATGTGTGACACTCAACAGAATCTAGTGATAGAGCACTACCCTCTTCCCCCGAACACAACGCACCCCCATTTTGGCTGCACCAGACCGGAAAGATAGATAGCTTGTAGGGTGCGTTGTGTTCGCAAAAAAACGGTAGTGTCACCTCGCCTTTGCGCTGCAAAAAGAGCAGTCGCCTTCATGCTAAAACGTTTTCTGCCTCCTAACTAAGCGATGTTGAAACGCTCCCGCCTCCTTCATGCTAAAACGTTTTCTGCCCCTAAAAAAAGGGGCTGAAAGTACTTTCAGCCTATTTTTTTTTTATGCTCTTGGAAAGCGATGGTCATCACGTGGCACGTGAGCGTTTTCTGTTTTTTTTTTTTCTCGCTCTCTCTCTGAAAACGACGATCATCATGTGAGCGTCTGATGTTTGATCTCTTGACGTCCTTTTCGTGAATGCGGGACCTTAAAAGGAAACTTTAAAACAAACAAACATAAAAAATGTATTGTTGACTTAACTTGCTTACCACATTCACCTTCTTGCTGCCTGCCTGCTTGCTCTCAAAGTCTAATAACTGCGCGCGTCTGCAATGCTCTCTCATTGCTTTCCAGTATCCGGCCAGATTTTGTCGTCTCTTCCTTCTCTCTCTCACCTCGGTGCAGTAATTGTCCACGGCAGACGGTCATTACAGTATAGTATAGTATAGTATAGTATAGTATAGTATAGTATAGTATAGTGTAGTGTCCACGGCAGACGGTCAGTATACTATAGTATAGTATAGTATAGTATAGTATAGTATAGTATAGTAATTGACTCGCAAGCCATGCAACGAAGCTCTGGTATGGTACTGTATGGTAAGGTATGGATAGTATAGTATAGTATAGTATAGTATAGTATAGTATGGTAGAGTATAGTATGGTGATTGACTCCTGAGCTATGCAATGAAGCTCTCGGGAAGGGAAGAGGGAGAGGGTGCGGAGAAGGAAACAATAGGTTGAGCACGTGAGTTGTGGGGCATTGATGGAGTTGGGTGTGGGTGGTTTTGGCTTCGGGTTATCATCACCATCATCGTCATTTCTCCTAGTCTGTGTCCCTTCCCTCCTTTCAGCATGTCTCTGATCTCGTAATCTTCTTCTTCACATTCCTGACAATTGCACCTTCCTTGCCACGAGGCGATCAGAAAGGGACACGTATAACATTCTGATCCGCGCATTGTCGGGACCCTAGTCGAGTAGCAGTTTAGTCATCTGCCAGCATCTTTTTTTCCTTCCTTTCTTTTTCTTTTTCTGCTTTTTTTTGGCATGGCGATCAACAGGGAGCGCGGGCGACTGCTCCATAGCATAAAAATATGTCCTCTTTATTCTCTTTTTCATATTTTCGACGGAGAAGGAACGCCGGATAGACGATTCTCTTTTTCATATTATCAGGCCGCAGACTTCCACGATCATGACGATAATTCTCCAAACAGCAACGCGCACGCACAGCATCGTGCGGCGCAGCAACCTGCGCACCGTGTCCGGTCGTGACCTCAGCTGCTCCATCAATAAAGAGGAAGAAGGCAGGATCATCAGCTGTTTCGACAAGTTTGCTTCTCGTCGTCTCTCGCCCTCCACTCCGTCGACGATTCTTCTTCCCTCTGTGTGTGTGTGTGTGTGTGTGTGTGTGTGCTTGTTCCCTCTGTGTTTGTGTGTGTGTGCTTGTGTGTGTGTGTGTTGTGCGTGTGTGTGCTTGTTCCCTCTGTGTGTGTGTGTGTGTGTGTGTTTGTGTGTGTGTGTGTGTGTGT